TCAGGCTCTCAATGCATCAGTATAAGTGTCAACTTATCCTTTATTCCTCAAGCCTCAGCTCTTCACTCAATCTCAATTGAATCCTCTTCATAAGTATCAACTTGTTCTTCTTGCTTCAGCTCTCCTTGCTTCACCAGTATCAACTTGGTCTTCTTCATCTGCCAGCTTCAGCTTCTCAGAGTAATCTTCAACCACATGGAAGTGTCAACTTCATTCTTCAATCTTATTCAATCAAGGAACTCCATCCTCTAATCAAGGGAGAAATATTCGTCTATCAAGAGCAAAGTTGGGATGATTGGTAGAAGAGTGAAGACCAAAGGTCACCACTGAGCATCCTGTCATCAGAGAAATGGACCCTCAAAGGTTCTACCAATTTGCAAAGAGCCACACATCCTACCAAAGGATGGATGAGGCCTTTACAAGGGACCTTACATCATAGGGAAGAATGGAATTGATCAACATATTCCATGTTTATGAAGGAAGAGAACTATCTAGAAGCTCTGCCTACAAAACCCTAATCTTAACCTAATCAAACTACACCACAAGAAGGGAAGATCTTCAAATCCAAGCCTCTTCAAGCAATCCAATGCATCCTCAACTTGTCTTCATCATCATCCAAGAACAAGAGAAACAAAACCCTAATCTAAGGGAACTAAAGAAGTTAATCTAGTTGAGTTAGTGCCTTAGAATCATCTAAAACTAGCATCTAAACTAAAATCAATCAAAAATAGGAAACTATCCTATAAATTTCTACAAAAATTCCTAAGGGATCCTAATTCAATTAGGAATGCCTCATACAAAAACCAGGGACTAAATCATCTATTAAGTCCTAAAATTAAATCCTAAATCCAAAGGTATCAATCATAAACCCTAAAAATGGAGCTTCTAAAGGTTTCAACCTAAACTACCACCTATTTTCATCACAAAAATGTGAGAAAATTCTATGGGGAGCATGCATGTCTATGCTAACTAATCACAAAAAATCAAGATCAAAATCATCATCACATGATCAAACAAAATTCCACAAAATCAAGTATCAAACATAACTATTTTAATATCAATTAAAATATGAAAATTCCCATAAAATCAGAAAATGCGTGAAATACAAATATTTTTTATCTAAAAAATACTAGATTCAATCATGAATATAATTCAAAAAGAATGGGGTTAATTGGATCATTTTTCAATGTTATATGAATTAATCAATAACCATGAATAAAATGAAAAAATAAAATAAAATCAAAATAAAATAACAAATGCGTGGTGTGGATAGTAATGAAAATCAGTTCATATCCAAGACTGGGCCAGAAAGGGGGTGTGGGTAGCAGAGTTTCAACTAAGCCCAAAACCGGCTGATTAATGAAACGCTGCGTTTCATAATCAGAACTCCTCTTCACAAATTTCATGCACGCGTGGCCGTTGGATGAAGTCTTTGGTCCAAGTCAAACCCCAGATCCAATGGCAACCAACCCATCTTCTTCCTTTTGAATGTTGGAGGGAAAGAAGCCATGGAAGTTCAGAGCTTCAGCTCCATCTTCCCCAAATCGTACTTCATCAATACTCCATCAAAACTCTCACATGAATACACTAATCCACTCCATTTTTCACCCTGATTCTAACCCTAGCCTCAGAATTTATTGAATCAACCTCTAACCTAAAACACGATCAAGAATCAAAATTATGCTCAGACCTCAATCATCACCTATCTTCAAATTGTTTGGTCTAAAATGTTCACCACATTACCCTGATCAGTTCTTGCTATAATACTCATATTATCTCTCAATATCCAGCATGTTCTTGTCCAAACAGAAATGGTGTCATCTCATTGATCATCACGAAATCCTCTCTAAGTTTCCAGAAACGATCTCCTAACCACATACTATCAATCTAACCTAACAAATTAACTTAATTCTTCTTAAATTAGGGTGAGGGATGAAAGTTTCAAACCTGTGAATTCTTGAGTAACAGATGTAGCAATTCTTCAATTCAACCCTTCTACTGCTCTGGAATCATTCAATGTACCAAGTTCTTGCTTCTGTATGCAAGAGAATCGACTGCAAAGGCTTGGAACTCCAAATCCGCTAGTGACTTGCATGTGCTGAAATTCAATTGCAAGAACACGATCCTTCAAGGCTTTGGCTATGGAATTGATCTGGAATCATTCAGTATCCTCCATAGAAGTTGTTGAAATCAAAAGAAAGGAAGAAGATGGTGTAGAATGCAGAAACCGATCTCAAGTTGCAATGAACAATGTGAAGTTGCAAACTCTCTTCTCTCCTTCAATTCTCACCAACCTTTCACTTGAACCCCTTCTAATTAATATATAGATGATGTTGGACCTCTCTAGAACCTTCTGGAATCATCCAAGGAGGTGTTGAATTTCTCATGTCATCCAAAATACCATCTCATGCCATACTCACCCCAATTCTGGTTTCACTTGTTGCAGCAGCTTTTTATGATCCCAAAATCTCTCCAAATGAGATATTATATGTGTTACAATGCCTTGGAAGCTTGCACATTGATCTCTCATGTGTTTTGCAAATGTTACTTAATATGCAAGCAATTACTTTTCAAAGCAAGTCCACAAATTAGACCTCAAATAAAAATTGTGGCTAAACCAATGTTCTTAAAATGTTTTTTAGAGTCAAAATGATATATTACATGCCTTGGTTTGGATGTGTAGATCAAAAATATCAATTTTCAACTTTGGTTTATTTAACTTATACCCTTATTTTAGGTCATTTTTGCAACTTTGAGATACAAGCACTTCCAACATCTCATGACCTCTTTACTAGCCTTAAAACATCATTTTGAACAATTTTGATGTTGAACATTTTCCCATTTGGAGCTTGGAAATAGGAGTTATGGCCTTAAGGTTGAAATGACCTGTAACCTCCAAATGACCAAAATACCCTTGACTTGTCAAAGCCATAACTTGAGTTCTACAAATCCAATCATGGACTTCTAGTACTCTCTAGAAATCTAAGAGAACAAGGAACACATTCATGTTGACCAAAAGTTCATAGGAATCATCCTTATGGGGAAAAAGTTTGATGCAAGTTGGGTAACTTTCAAGCCCCCAAATCCACATACCTCAAATGACCTGTAACTTGTCAAAGTCATAACTTGAGTTCTACAAATCCTATCAAGGACTTCTAGTAATCTCTAGAAATCTAAGATCAAGCTCTACAACATTCACGTTGGGGGTAAGATGAGATGACAATCACATCTTGAGCTAAAATTCCTTGAAGATAAGGGCCAAACTAGGGGATTTTACACTGTCAAGCCTTAGAAACCCTAGCTTGAAACTTCTCAAATTCTTCAATCATGATGAGTTGACCTTGGAATAATCCTTATAACATCTCAATGTATCAATCCATGATCACATGGCTCTTGGATTAGGTCTCAACCTTCTCCAAATCATCAGTTGACTTAGGGTTGACCTAGTCAAACCCTAACTGCACCACTCATGGCTGGGGCTTCTTATTCTTGCACAATGACCTGTCTAGGCCTCATGATGGCTTTCAAGACATCTCATAAGCTCTCTCAAGGCTTCAAGTCCACATTCCTGGCTTCAGAATCATCTGAGGAGCTCCCACAACTCTCAAGTTAGGAGGCACATACTCTTGGTTTCAACCACCCTCTCTGAGGATCTTTTGACTTCTCTGACAAGGATATCACCCTTGAGCACTTGAATAACCTTCTTAGCTAGCTTCAAACTCTTGTGTAGCCCTTGATTGGTAATCATACCTCTTGATCTCCTGCATACATGTCAATGAAATGCAAATGATAATGCTAATGTGAATGAAATGAAACACAAGCTATGTAAAGAAATGTTAGGCAAATTTTGGGGTGCAACACTTGCTGTCTTGGTTTCTTTGCCATCATTCAAGTGTCTAAATTTCCACTCTTTCATGCCTAATTCCTGCACAATAACACATAAATTAAAGGTACCAAGATACTTTCACACAAAGTTGCAAACCAACTAAAGAGTGATTTTGAACACTTTCTTGACAAAAAGGAGTGAAAGATGCCCACATTTGATAGCTCAAATAAGAAAAATTGGGCATCTAACAATGCGTTTTGTATCTGGGACCTAGTTTACAGCTTTTGCAGCAAGCCGACACGGATCAAAACTAAACAACAATAATTTGAATGAGTATTAAACATAAAATGGCAATTTATAGTTAAATAAATATTATAAATTAAAAACATACCCAAATCCCTCAAGCCTAATCAGATGTTGTCCTTCAACCACCAAAAGCTCCCCTGCAACAGCATTTGTCTGCTCCTCATGAACATTGTCATCCTCTTGAATAGTGTGGTCATCCTGCTGCTGACGCGCATGTATATGTGTGGGTGTGGAATGCGGGAGCCAGATCCCCCTGGCTGGTGCGTGGAGGGAGTCTGCTGAGGAAAACTAGATCCTAAAGGCTGCGGCGTGAAGGAATATTGTTTAGGAAACTCAGATCCCTTAGGTTGTGCGAAGGGAGTCTGCTGAGGAAAACTAGATCCCCCAGGCTACTGTGTGAAGGAATAATGCTGAGGAAGAAAACTAGCTCCCCCAGGAAAACTAGATCCCCTAGGCTGTTGCGTGAACGTAGACGGTACCTGGGAAAAATTATATCCCCCAAGCGGATGCATGAAGGATCCCCCAAACGTACTAATAAACGATGGATTCCCTGATGGAACCGTTTGGGAGGAGGAGAGTAACGTAAATGGTTGTGAAGTGTCTATGGACATTAGATCTGCCTGAGTCTGTGGGCGAGACGCATACATGGGCGAGAGCGGTACCTCACGTACTCTAGCTCTCGAATGGGGTTGGGTCTCCTTAGCCTTACCCTTGTCAGTTCAGGGTGGTATTGTATCTATTTTGAAAGAGTTATCAATAAATAAATCAAGACTATTATCAACACAATATATACAAGTAAAAATCATTTGCATTCATATAAAACAAATAATACATTAATAAAAATTGTTCGAACACATATAAAAACTATCTATTCAAACTCTTCATGCTCTTCATCCATATTATTTGCGTCATCTGATCCAATAATTTCCTCAGATTCAAACTCTTCATGCTCTTCGTCCACATTATTATCTACCAACAACACAGATGCATCAATTTGATGACCCTCGGCCAATGTATCACACAAATTTGTAATTTCTTCAACTTCAACCACATCATTAATTTGAGAAATTCCATCATCTTGGTAAGCAGCACCTTCCACTAGATCATCAGTTTCAATATGACCCAATGGTCTTGTTTTGATTACAACACCATCCATGTTTACGTGATTGAATTAAAGGGTATGAAACATAATAAACTTGTTTAACGATATGTGACATTATGAAAGGGTCATACTCTTTGTACCTTTTGTCCATTCGAATATCAACAGTGTTATATTTCTTATCTATTTTTGTGCCCCTGGCAGATGGATCATACCAATCACAATAAAACAAGACAAATCTATTTTCCGAGTCCAAGTAATTGTATGCCAACTCATAAATATGCGTAACAAATCCATAGAAGTCGTCTTCACCACCATCTGTAACTCCTTTGACAAATTCACCACTATTTATGGTTTTTTTCCCTTCTGTTCAAGCCTGGGTGTGAAATTTATAGTCGTTCACAAAGTATGTGTTCCATTCAATTTCTCTTTGAACAGGCCCTTTAGATAAGTTTCTCAAATGAATTATTTCTTGAGTCGGTGCAACAATGCATGACAATTGATCCTTGAACCATGCTGGGAAAGATGTGTGCATGTGACCGGTAGTTGCTTGTTCACTGGTGCTTTGAAAATTGGAGGCGTTAAATGCCCTATAAAGAAACATATTATTAGTTAGAATGTAATAATTCAATTTGTAAAGCCAGATAGGTAGTTACGTTAGGGGTACAAGATATGGCCTAACTTCAATATAGTTAATTAGAACATGAACATGTGCAGATTGCTATTATTTTTGGGTCAGCCAATGGACATTCTCCTTTCCAGAGGGGTGACCGGGAACACCGAAGATTGACATGGTAAACTGACTTCTTTTGTTAACATCAAATTCATTCCTTATGATTCTTGGATTTAAAATCAAATGATTGAAATAATGACTGTAAAAATGTGATGTTTCCCGATGCAAGTAATGTGCACATATTGATCCTTCAACTTTAGCTTTATTTTTCACTGATCGCTTTGAATCACCCATGAATCTTTCAAAGGGATACATCCACTTATATTGAATGGGGCCACCAAGATAGGCTTCATATGCAAGATGCATAGGTAGATGCTCCATAGAGTCGAAAAAACCAGGTGGAAAAACTCGTTCTAACTTGCATAGAATAACTAGAATATTTTGGTCCAACTTAATGATGCTATCGACTCTTAAAGTTGACGCACAAATATCTCTGAAAATTTGACTTATTTCAATTAGCGAATATAGCACTTAGTTGGGTAGTGAACTGAACGCAATTGGAAGCAATCGTTCCATGAAAACATGACAATCGTGACTTTTCATTCCATGCAACTTCCCAGTTTTGGTGTCAGCACACCTTGCTAAATTTGAAGCATAACCATCTGGCATTCTCAATCCATTTAACCATCGACAAACCGCTTTAGAATCTTGGGAAGTTAGACTGTAACAAGCCTTAGGTTTTAATAATTTTCCATTAGGACGAGGCTTCAACTCCAACTCTTTTCTATCACACAAAATTTCCATATCCCTTCTAGCCTTCTCATTATCTTTTGTTTTGCCTTGAACATCCATCACTGTGTTAAACATATTATCGAAGAAATTCTTTTCAATATGCATAACATCAAGATTATGTCGCAATAAATTATCTTTCCAATATGGGAGGTCCCAAAATATACTTCTTTTTATCCAATTGTGTTTGACCCCATATCCTTGAATTCTGCATGCTTCACCATAGTCTGTAAATTTTGGCAGTTCAGAAACTCGATTCCATATTTCCTTTTGTAAGTGCTCTTGATTGACTGCATTTTGTGGCATAACATTAGTCCATGTATGAATGTCATATTAGATGTTTCTACATTCATTAAGTGGACTGTGCAGGACAAGTTTTAAAAGCTAACTATAAGTTAAGCTGGATGTCACACTCGATGTCATGACATAGGTCGTGTGACATCAGTGCACAAGTTTGTTATTCTGCTAGCTATAATTCAGGAAACAAACCAGAAACTCAAGCTGGAATACAAGAGATATTTTAGACACCCCAGGGGATCAAATATGGACCTGTTTGAAGTGGAAAACTTGCAGAATTCTAAAGAGAGGTTTTATTGTGGATAAAACCTAATTTATGCACCAAGGCCCAATGGACTGCAGCTGTTATAAATAACAGAAGAATCAACTCAGAAAAGTAACTCTTGACAGAAGAATAGAGAGTGCAAAAGCAGAGAGTCCAAGCAAGTGAAGTAGGCTAGTCTTCACGTGTAAAAGTCAGTTTAGGAATACTTGTAATCCAAGGAATTGTCTGATTGATAATTTCTTTGGTTAGGTAGATTCTAGGCAATGTCTCACTCAAAGCTGTGAAGCAAGAGTGTGTGAGTTTCTTGATTGAAGTTGTGAAGCAAGATCAAGGATTGTATGAGGTGTCTCTTCATACTAAACTGTGTAATTGGTTAATATCATTGTTGTATGATTAAGGGGGAGTGAGTGGGTATACTCAGGTCTAGAGTGTCTCTAGGTTGAAGTGTCATTGGGTAGAGATTAAGTGAGAAGTGCAAACAGTTGGTTTGACTTTGAATTGATTCTGCTTATAGTGAAATTCCTCCCTGGCTTGGTAGCCCCAGATGTAAGTGTTGTTGACACTGAACTGGGTGAACAATTGCTGTCTTATTTACTTCTTTCAATTACTATATAAATAGTCATTGTTGTAGTCAATGTCACAGTGGATGTTATAACTCGAACAGTAACATCCATCGTGTGAAGGCCAGAATTTTCAATTGGCATCAGAGCAGGCACCCTGCCTGTTTTTAACTAGGTGAGATCTAGGGAAAACAAATTCTGGTGATATGGATAAAGACATAGGATTCACAAATAGACCTCCAATTCTAGATGGATCTAACTATGACTTTTGGAAGCCTAGGATGATTGCATTCCTAAGGTCCTTAGACAGCAAGGCTTGTAGAGCTGCAAACTCTGGCTAGACACATGCTGTAAAGACTGACAAGGATGGAATAACTGTGCAAATCCCTGAAGATGAATGGACCAAAGAACAAGAAGCATTGACTCTTGGAAACTCTAAAGCCTTGAATGCTCTCTTCAATGGCATAGATAAAAACATCTTCAGGCTTCCAAGGTCAAAATGTATAGACTTCAGATGCTGACCACAAAATTTGAAAGTCTAAGAATGAAGGAAGATGAGACCATTCATGAGTTCTACATGAATGTCCTTGAACTAGCCAATACCTCAGGAGCTTTGGGAGAAAAGATGACTGATGAAAAGCTGGTAGGAAAGATCCTGAGATCACTTCCCAAAAGGTTTGCAATGAAGGTGAAAGCTATTGAAGAAGCTCAAGACATATGCCACATTGTTGCACCCTAAAATTTGCCCAACTTTATTCACTTGGTTTATGTTTCAATATCATTAGCATTTGCATATAGAGTCATGTATATAGGTTACTCATCTGCATAGCATAAGCATAGCAAGTCATTCAACAGGGGACCAATCATTATTCTCATCTCTAGAGGCCTATCAAGAGGTTATTATTCAAATTCCATCTCATTCAAGTCATCAGAAAGAATTGGGAAGCTATCAAGTCAGTAGATCAAGCATTGAGTATATCTCCTAACTAAGGGTGTCTGAGGATCAACAAAGAAATTGTGAGCTATGGGCTGAGCATGGGGAGTATCTAGACATCTTGGAGGATTTATAAAGTCATTTGGAGAAGGAAATGAGTCATTGGTGTGGTCACAAGAGTTGTGGAGGAAGACAGTCCACTAGGGTTTCATCCGGGTCAACCCTGGGTCAACCCTAGGTCAAAGGATTGTTTGAAAGGCATTGAGGGCTATTGAGGAGATGTGAGGTTCATCATTTGACATGGAGAATAAGGATATGTTGTTAGGCCAAGACTGCTCAAGAAAAATCAAGAAGAATAGAGGGTGAAAAGTCAAGGTTCCTAGGGTAAAATCCCTTGTTTTTCACTGATTTGTCAAAGAAGATAAGTTGAAATACAAGCCTCATCTCACCTAATGATGGTCATGAGACTTATAGAGGATGTTATTAGCTTTAATTTTAGTGGTGGAAGTCCTTGAGAAGATTTCTAGAACTCAAGTTATGGCTCTTGCAAGTTAGGGGTCACCAGATGACACTGAAATTTGTCTGTGAAAGTTGACTGTCTTCTGACAAACTTTTGACCCTCAAGAATAATTCAAATGAATTTCTGGTCAACATGAGAGTTGTTCCTCATTGTATCCCCTTTCCAAAAAGGTATGGTATGCCTTCATATGATTTGTGGAACTCAACTTATGGTTTGAACAAGACAGGGGTATTTTGGTCATTTGTCAGTTATAGGTCATTTTTTAGCCAATGCCTAAAACTCCTACTTCCAAGCGTCAAATGGAAAAACTCAAAACATGAAAGTTGTTCAAAATGTCATTTTAAGGCTAGATAAGATGTTGTGAGAGTTTGAAAATGCATGGAGCATGGATATTTTAAAATGGTGAAAATGACTTAAAAAGGCATATAACTTGAAAAAGTTGAAATTGGATTTTGGTTTGAGAGATCTACAAATCCAAAATGGGGCATATGATAGATGATTTTGATTGGAAACAACATTTTGGAAACAATGGTTTATCCACATTTTTGAGTTTAGGCTTAAAAATTGGACTTCCTTTGTAAATTTGTTTCTTGCACTTTAAGGTACCATGAGAAATTGTTTGCCAAAACCTTAAACTTGCATGAAATGCCTTGTTCTCACATATATATCTCATATAAGGGTATTTTGAAGACTTATCATGAGTTTTATGAGATTTACTAAAAATATTATTTTTGAATTTCTCATTACGTGAGAAGTTCTAGAACTTCCTTGGAAGCTTCTCATATGTTCTAGATCTTTCCTTTCACTTCGATAAATACCCAAGGGTGAGATCATGCCATGGTTGGTGATTCTATTTGCTTGCAAACCATACTTTCATCTCATAACTCCAAAATTGCATTTTGATTCCCATCTCTCCCAAACTCCATTGTTTGTGCTAGCTATCATCATCATCATCATTCTCCATTGTTGTGGGTTGAAAAGCACGAAGAAGGCACCTCAAATCGTGGCTGGATTGTGAG